TTGATTATTGCACATTCTTAATCTTAAAGGTCATTTGAGCCACAAAAATGCCAAAAATGTATTTTTCCAAAGCTTTTTTTATATAATTTTGTTGACCTTTAACAGTTTCCAAACCGTTGCTTATTGACTTCATATCTTAATCATATTTTGCTTATTTTGCGATTTAGTAAAAGTTTAATTTATAATGATCTTGTATAAAAAAAATATTTTTCTCACATTTAGCACTATTTTATTCAGGTGATGAGCATCTTCCTTCTTCTATTATTGAAATATCAATTAACACTTGTTTGTCTTTTCTACAGAAAAAATAGAGTCATTTCAGAGTCTAAATGTGCCTTTAATATTCATTTTCGGCAGATTGTTCTAGTATTTTCTCTAAAGCGACTTACCTTCGGATTTGCCTGCAGGAAAGTTTTTATCAAAGAATCTTAAAACATATGTACCGAATATTAATGAATTTCATAAATATTTACAAATTCTAACACAAATGTTTTATCATCAACAAATGAAGATAAAAATCTGTTAATTGAGTTAAGAAAAAAAAAAACAATTTTTGTCAACCAAATTGTGATGTAGTCACTTTTGCTTGATTCTTATTATCTTCTGTTCATTCAAATTGGCTTCTGATTTAATGTTTCTTTTGTGAAACGGGTTTGCTGCTTATTTAAGAAAAAACATTTCTCAACCTCGGAGCCACACAAAAGGGTCCCGTTTGTGTAAATCAACTTTTTTTACTAAAGATATTAACTTGGACTAAACATTAAGCTATGTCTGAATTTCTTTGTTTTTGAACTTATTGACTGATATCTAGTTAAAGTTTAACTAAAAATGGGTCATTGATACATACCGTACGACCCTATAGTAATTATAAACAATATACTTAAATTCAGTATGACTTTATATCTAAAATGTATTTTTAGTATTTATGACAGATTCTCTGTGTTTGGTCCCCATACTAAGTTAATCCTGCAAAGTCATCGTATTGAATTACCAGTGGCAAAGAAGTACGTTTATCTGAACATCTTTGTTTTAAAGTGAATTGTTTAATAGTAGTTTGGTCTGTAATACCAATAATATTTATGTTGATAGTTTTGATTATCATGAGAAACATCAAACCACGAAATAATTCCAAATTTTTATACATGGGGTACTGTTGGTATGTGTGAACTAATTAATCTGATATGATACATCTAATAAATTGTTTAAATACACAATATAATGATTCGTCATGTAAATGTGATTTTTTTTTTTCAATTTTTCCATCTGAACGTTATTTCTATAAGAATATTATTTTATTGATACATTTCTATTGCTTAATAATGATCTAATTATTCAGATTTCATTTGCTTTTATCTTAATATCAATTTATCTAATATCATATTTGTTAAAATTTATTAAAAATCACATGACTATAAAGGCAAATTATGCCCCAGAAATTTATATTTCACTTTTGAAACTTATATATTTCAAACACTACGTTTTCATTACTGTCAAAAAGCAAGTGCTTAGCTTAAATTACTGATACCTTTAAACGTTAACAAAGTCGGTTTATGTGCAATTGACACTATCTGACCACATGCAATATTAGTTTAATAGTTTATATATCTTAACAAGGCACATAATGTCTGTTCCTTGACACATTAGTAAATAAAATGACAATATTTTATCTGTTAGAAATACTTAATATCATTCTTTTAATACTATCTAAATACTATATGAATATTATATAAATACTATATAAAGAAAGATATATCTGATAATTAATGGGAAGAAAAAGTACAGAAAGCATGGTGGATTTTCAATAAATCGTTAAAACTACCGCAAAAAAATATCGGTGATTTTTCGGTGAACACCTTTGCTTAACTTAACAATGAGTATATTACTTTATTAAGGAAAGAAAATGAGGTATCAATTAGCTATAAAACATTTAAATTGATACAGTAGGACAAATTAATGGTAAATATAACATTTATTAAGAGTGATGTAAGTTTTCTTATATGAACCTGTTTAAAAATAAGCAAAGTTAGGTGAACTGAGTTATCTTATATTTTAAACATATATCTCTTCAAAAAAATGTGTAAAAAATGACTATTTAACTTTCAAGGAAAAACTATAAACAAAGAGTTTCAGGTTTTAAGATATTTGTTTTAAAGCGCAATTATTGTTCACAAACCTCAAACAGATGTACATAATTAGCTATCTCGTCATCTAATCAATGATCAATGCTCATTTTAATTGTTTCTCCCAGATAACGTTTATTATGGAAAGCTAACCACAAACTTGTATCGTTTTTTTGGTTTTGTTTTTTTTTGTTGTTTTTTTTCACAAGCGCAAATATTATATAAGTATTGCGTGATGATAAGGTATACCTCCAAGTCTATGGTCCTGGCCAATGTGATATTAACGGAGGCTGAAGATAACATTACCCGGGTTCATATACTTGGATATTTACCAAGACCGATGATCACATTAACAAGGTCCATATACTTTAATATCCAACGAAATATTCATACAATTACTGTTTTATTATATTTACAAAATACAATTTTTCTTTTGTTGGTATGTTTTTTATAAGTTTTTCGATTTCCTTTTTCAAGCAAACATGTCCTAAGTAAGGGGGAAGTTTTTTTTTCTTAATCTGTAACTTGCATATGGTGTATGTTAAACGTCACGTTGTTTGTCGTCTAATACTCAACATTAAAAGTAAAACCAATGAAGATTGGTTTCTATAATAATAAACGGTTAAATTTAGCGCAACACTGTATGACGGTCTGGCGTAGTTTTCTTTTCTTTCTACCCCTATCTCAGCAACGAAAATAATACCTGCGGTGTAACATACATAAAAAAGACCTGCCGTGTGACGGACAAAACGCCTTTTCTAAGTCTGTTATACTTGATCTGAGAACTGCTTTGCAGATGTTACAAGATATTTGTATATAGGGCTATGTATTAGTTTTTTTTTCTCGAAATGTAAAGAACATGTAAAGGGGATTTTAAGATGACAAACTTTTTATTTCAGGCCTACAAATAATAATACCATTAGGATGACATCAAATGATTACAAGGCAATTAAATACCAATTAACAAAGATATAAAGTTACAAGATACAATGTAATTGAATTAAACATGATATCAAGATTGCTGTTATTGTGATAGACGTAATACAACGTATATCATAAAGTGTCGGTTTTACACTTGATCTCTATGTAATATTATTATGATTTATGTATCCTAGTTAAGATTGTTGACTTCGAACTATTTGTCCCGTTCGTTCGATTCCCGCCAGGGGCTTTGGATTATTTCATGTGAGGAAGCTATCAAGCTAGCTTACAGAACGTCGGTATGAAATAATGCACGGAGGGACAGGCGAGGTCTTCTTTCAACAGTAAAGCTGGAAAGTCGCCATATAAACCCTACTGTTTTGTTGCAACGTAAAAACAAACAAAATAGTACGTATATATTTTAATATTTATCTCATGTATCAGTAGAATAACAATAAGATTTGATGGATTACAGCGGTCTTCTAACAGTGGGAAAAGTTAATGTTTGCTATAAATGTTATTAACAATCCCTTTTTTGAGATTTATGATGGTTGCAAAGTCATTTTTTAAATCCATTTCGATTATGTTACGATGCTTATATATACTTTTGAAATAAAAACTTATGAATGTTTTGAGAGAAAAAAAAATCAAACTTAATTATGAGCGTGTCGAGTACTTTAAAAAAGGTAAATTTACAGCATGAAAATGATTTGCAGATTTCTTCTATGTTTTGTTTGAAATGGTACACATTTGAAATTTTATTTGTTTATTGAATGTTTTAAAAGACTTTTTGACTGTTAATGAAATGGTGTTAACGCACATTTAATGGAATTCATTAATCGTGTATTCTTGAAAAGAAAGTTTTTCGGGTTTAACAGTTAAGTTATGAAAATATTGTTTTTGTTGGTGTTGTTTTTCGTTGTTTTTTGTTGTTGTTTCATATTTACATGTATATAATTACATCGTACGATTATCAAAATAAGTTTGAAATACCGTACTGCAACCATTATTAATTTGAATCTATACTTTTACCTTTTACGATATTTCTCATGAAATGACAATTTTCATGACTTTAGTCCTTCATTATTTATTTTCTGTAATTTTCTGTAAAGTTTATGTTTAGAGACAAGTGTGTCTTAGATTCATATAACTGTTAAAGAACAATAACAAGCTAATTCTTTAGATTTTATATGTTACATGTTTTGATACATCTTCAAATATCTTGAACTAATAGATTCATAATCTTTTAAATTATAAAGAACAAAAACCAAATGACTTCGGGTGTCAATTACTTAAACTTTAAAGTGAATAATTGCCCAGTGCTTTAAAAAAGCCAAGTAAAAATTCTTTGAATATAAATCATATTTATAAAAATCAAATTATGCGTACTTCTTTCCTTTTAATTCATGACAATAAACATTGGACGAAAAAGCAAGGAATATTTGGACATCTTTTGGCGATATCTAAATTACCCATAATGTAAATCAAGTTGAACACAAGTAGGAAAACGACTTAATTTCAATGCTTATTCATATAACGCTGTAGGTGTACATTTTAACGATGAACTGCGGTTTACGCTACTGTATAAAAGGAGACGGTATAGTAATGTAATCGTGATTTAGTTACATTTTGATAATCTTACAGCTCGGAAGTAGCAACGATGTTTGTAAAAAAAGACAAGTTGTACTTTTTATTAATTTAATACAAGTTGCGATGGGAATAGTATGAAAATACATTTTTATTAAACAAAATTTGAAACATGATATTTCCAGATGTTAAAGCAAGTGCTTGTTTTCATATATACTTTTAATCATAATTGTTTTAATTATGTAGTACATTTAATGATAAAAGAGTAACGATCATACTTCCTCTATTAAGTAAATGAACAGCTGTACATATTTTCGGTGCATTTTTTTACTATGTGAATAAAGGGCTAAGAGAGTTTTGTGCAATACAAGCGTACGAACAACTGGGAACTTCTAAATTCTTAGGGTTTAACTTTGGATATTACAAGTGGTGTTGTTGGAGAATTTACAAGAACATGATGACTGCGGATAATGTGAAAGTCACTATGTTTGTTATTCTAGGACTTATTATAGGTGAAACATTTGGATTGTATTTAACAAAGACAAAGCGAAACAATTTAGGTAAAATTTTATATGAGACAAATCTTCAAAGTCGAAACAAAAGAGACATTCGTTCAGATTATCCGTGAGTTTTTTTTTCTATCTCATTTATATTTATTTATTTATTTATTTATTTATTAATTTATTTATTTATTTATTTATTTATTTATTTATTTATTTGGTTTTTCTTTTTTCTTTGTTTATAGAAATTACATAATAATTAAGTAACAACTTTTTACTTGGCACCCCTTTAAATAATAAAAAAAATAACTTATAACTGCAGAAATAATTGACAAAATTGTAAAGTAAATTAAACACGAATATTGTCTGTATTTATGAAAGTTTGATTTACTTTGATATATTTTGTCTTCATACATAAAATGATTAATTACTTATAAAAGATGTAGTCCAATATGTAAGCATATCTATTTCTTTCAGATCTGTTCACCATTATGCCAGACATGCACTATGTCGAAGTTTGATTTACTTTGATATATTTTGTCTTCATACATAAAATGATTAATTACTTATAAAAGATGTAGTCCAATATGTAAGCATATCTATTTCTTTCAGATCTGTTCACCATTATGCCAGACATGCACTATGTCGAACATTCAAGGGTAAACAACATTTATACAAAGCAATGAAGAAAAAGATATGTGGAATGACATGTAAGAACCTTTTATCAAATCAAATGATTTACCGTTTTCTGCCTTGTTCTTCTGAAATTGTTCAGGTATATTGCTTAGTTAGTTAATATTTCATCGAATAAGAGAGGTCTAAAGTGCTATTGTGTTTATTAATAATTTAGATATCCATTGATTGCTTATTTATCGTTTGGCGTTTATTTAGGTTAATTCAAAATTTTACAAAACTTCTAACAGATAAACGCGGTCACTATTTTCATAACGACTCATGATAGTACTTTATGCTTAAAAGTATATCTTAAGTCTGAAATACAAATCCTTTTATCTTTGCAATATGGAATGAGCAATAATTCCTCTGTTGACATAAACTAACTGTTAGATTAATGTTTGAAAATTTACAAATTCCTAAAGGTCAATAATTTATATGTCTCACTGACCAATGAATCTACCTTTAAAATAATCTATTGATTTAAAAACATTCGGTAACATAGTCGAATTTGAATTTCAGTGTCCTTCATAGCAAGTTTGGTGATTGATCTTTGTCACCATAGACATACGATGCTAGATACCTGGGTAGCCGGACTGTTTGATGTTGATGGTAAGGACTTCTAATACCATTTTATCTTAACATTTGAAATAAGTATATTTTCAGTATAATAGTTTTTTAATAAAAGTTTTCATACAATATCAAATGCCCAAATAAGTGAAGTGTAAATTATACAAATAATAGAATAACTATGTTTCGAGAAACAACATCATATACTTCCACTTTTCGGAGTTTTAATAATTTTCTAGGTTACGTAACTTCCAAAGACATCTTAAAGGAAATTGGCCTATAATGGAAGGCCTGAGATACTATGAATAATTATGTGAACAGTAATTAGTATCAGACATAATTGCAAACCTTGAAATCATTATATATGGATGTTGTTGGCGAGTGTGATACATGATCCGATATTACATATATTTGTATAGTATATAATATATATTATAACATGCTTTTGAATAAAATATTATTTGTTATATAAATGTTCATACTAAATCACGTAGAACTATATGAACAGTTTTTTAAGTAATATTTCATAAAAAAAACTATCAAATTTATACATTTCCTTTGTTTTTATCAATATTTGAGATACTAATGGAAAATGTGACTATTGTAGACAAATCCATTCCAATTAATCATCGATATAATTATCTTAGAAGCTTGAAAGAATATCGCTATATTTTAATGCTTTAAGTATGGCACTATTAATCCCTGTCGACATAAGGGCAAAGAATACATAATAAATATGCTTACTGTCAATGAAAGTTCTATACCCCTCTGATAAAAAATTGCATTGTGAAGGCGACATTAATAAAAGTAAAAAAAAAGATTATCAGACTAAACAAATATGTGTGATGCACACTATTTTAAATCTTCCAATTCATCCACTTATTTGAATTTGACAATAAAATATGGCATACAACCAAGATGTTGCGATAAATGAAATAATTAAAAACTCGTTTTGATAAGAAGATTTATTTTGAAGATGTATTTGTGTTTGATAATGAAAAAAAATGAACGTAAGGTCATTTAAGTAAAAGCACATGTACTGACGTAATATTCAGGTTAGTCATTATATTAGTAAGATGCTAAAGTCCAAAGTTTTTTATGTTGATTTTTATTGTCTTTACAGGTGACGGGCAGATAAGTCATTTTGAGCGAAATATGTATAAAGATAATTACAGCTGAATTGGGATATGAAGTGAAAATTCACAATCGCAAATTCATTAGGAGGTTTTATGCAAAAGTGAAAAACCACAAAGCCCTAGGCTATAAATGCGGTCTAATTTATCTTATTTTACACAGACGAAAAATGTGTCTGAATGCAGTAATTCAAACTAAGACTTCTTTGATTAGCGCTATCGACAGAATTCTTTGCATACACTTTTTAATGTTATTAAGGAATATTACTTTTAGATCTAAAAGCAAAATGTATGCTCTAAGTTGAAAGCTTAAATAGGCCTCAAAATGCAATCGCTTTCTTTGCACTGTTGGCAATTTGTATAATTAGTATTTTGCATGGAAGTCAAAATACTTTTTGTTTACATTTTGCTACCTTTACACATAATTTCACATTCAGCGATATATTTTCAGTTGTAAAATATCTTACATGCCCTAAATCAACTATCAAAACATTACGAAACGCATATTTGATGTTTCTAAACACTTTAAAATATATGAATTTCTGAGGCATAAGGTGTCTTCAAAATAACTTATAAGCGTATTTAATGTTTATTACAATTATATTTGAAGGACGCATTTGAAACGTTATGTCGCAATCTTTGATTGTGATATAAAATGCAAATGCAATAAGCATTTCATCATTTTATTTATTTCATGAAACATTATTTTTATTTATTTGTAAATATTGATATGTCAGTTGTTTGACATGACAGTTCATCATTGTATAAAATCTACCTCTGTGATGCAGTATTATATTATAATAATTTACATTCCGTCCAATTATGTTATATTTTGTAATAAAAAATAAATACATAAATATCAAAAATGCTGCTTTTTATTTTTGTTATTTTCTGTTGTTTTTTGCGCGTGATAGTTGTTTAGCAACAGTAATTCGTTTAGAACAATGATCAGGATCACAAGAAAACATTGATGATGCATACAAATCTCTGCGTTCTTTGATTAATGGTGAGATTAATATTAAATTACCATATAAAAAGGTATTATCTAAACATGCTGTGTAAGTAAAAAAGGGTATAAACTTGAGGGAATGTATATCTTACTGATCTATGGAATGATACGAATGGTGTACTACAAATGATATTATGATAAATATTAAGAAAAGCAATATCACCCATTTTAGAAGTATACCTACTACTTAAACAAATTCTAAATTTTCGTATGGTAAGATTCTCAAAATTGTTGACAAATATGTATACCTTAGTGTGGTATTCAATGAGCAGCATTTAGACTATAATGTTATAACCAAATGTATTTGCAGGCAACTAGATAGCAGAGCTTCGGGTGTTTTGTTTGCAATTGTATAGCCATGTATAGCATCATTTTATAAATATTGACCCCACCCTTATTTCACCATTACATTTGTCTTAGACGTATAATTTCATTTCCCTGTTATTTGTCATAAACTTCAGAAACTCCTGAGACAATGATTGTTTGGGAAAATGAACTTGTTAATTAATGATGATCAAGGCTATTTTCAAGAAAAAATAACAAATATAACATCACATAAGATAGCAAATAGTAATTTAAAATAGTAAAACTTATAAAAACAAGTTAATTACATTATGCTTTAAGTATTTAATAATAATATATGAATGATAATTATATAAACTGTACAAGGCTGAATGTAAATTTGATGTCTAGTTAGTACCTTTTTAATTTTTTTTATACAGTTTCTTAATATGGTTTGTCGGGTTGAAGTCTACATTTCTATAATTGGCATTTTGAAGGACAAATGGTATACGATGACAACTGGTTACCAATCGAAGGACGAAGAAAATAATGATTACAAGGAAACCAGAGATTTATTTTTCTTTCGTCCGAAACAGTCTGAAATCAGAAAATGTAAACATTAATTAGATAAGTAGTAGCATGTTTTTCGTTAATTGTATTTTGTATATTACAGATTACTATATAGCTTATAAAACAGATTAACTAAAAGTTGAATCAATATACGGTTATGGATTTATAGCAAACCATTTCGCTGTTATGGTTATAAGGTACCTACAAATAACATTTAAGACAAAAAGAATATACACACAATGTACTTTAATGAATAAGTTTTCATTTGCTTAGTTTGTTTTTCAATGCGGTATTTTATTTATTTAAAAGAAAACATCAGAAACACATAAATGTTCATCGCTTTTGAAACACATGTACATTGGCCATATCGTAATATACCAATTATATACATATTGCTTTTCTCGTTTTTATACCGTTTCGAGTTTGTGGTCATCTAACAACATACCAATTTATCTGACAAAACAATTGAAATAATAATTGAATATTTATCAGATAACTTGCCACATACACCTGTTTGTGATAAGTATCACGTCACATTGGAAGAATTTTTAACATTAACAAAAAAATTGTTTTTGTTAATTATTACACGTCAAACACACACAGTTAACGCTTAAGACAATGTTTAAGAGATACAGTCGTGAGGGATATTGAATGTATGAGTCACAATAGCTTGACAGTGCTCTAGGGCAAATACAGAAAATCAAAAACGATTAAGATAGCTTTTTTGCACATGGCGTCTACATCTTACTTCAAATGTTTGACGATTCACTGCAAAGCTGCTGTTAAAACTGGCCGTACTTTTGGAATGTTTTCAATAACTACCAAATAAAAATACTCATTGAAAATATAGCAAAAGAAAAAAATTAATTATTTAAAGCAGCATACCTCAAAATAAAAACTAATTTTCATGAGGTTTTTGAAAAAAGTATATTGAAGTTATTTACTGTAAAATGAAGAAGAGAAGTAATTTACACATTACAAACGGCAGTTACAATCAACGTAAATCTACATTACAAAAAGAGCTTAAAATATGCAATTACACCCCCTATTGCGTTAGTCACGCTGTTCAAATATGATAATAAATACTTCAAAATCAGTCATTGATCGCTTATAACATGTAAATTATTGATTGAGTCTTGATTTTCTTTTAATTTTATTAAAATCTTAGTTCATTTTTTTCTCAAGGTCGATTTCCTTGAAATATTAAGGCTCATCTGGAAGCTTAAAGCTTTATACTGTCTATGTTAATTTAAAAAGACAGACATAATTTTAACATTAATATTATCATGTTAAAATTAAATGTTTAAATGTAATATGTACATGACCTTGAATATACGGTACATGATCTTTTCTCTTCTTACATTAGACTGCATCTGTGTGTGAGAATTGTACATGTGAACGTTCAACAAACGTCCACGTTGCAATACATTTCCTTGTAGATATGACCATTAACAATTATTAATATTGCAGCATTCAGCCAATGTCTTGTGAAAAAAAAATGTTATACACGTTAGTTTGTCCTGACATAACAAGGAGTGATAAGAAACATTCTTCTCCTTATCGAATCATTTGTAAAAGTGAATCATTTATATGTAGCGGGACCAGTTGGTAAAGTAGCCATTCATATCATGGTAAAAAATATATAATCCCATACAGGCCAGTGGCCAGTCACATAAGTAACAACTCACAAATACCCAATTCATCCGATTAAGGAAAAATAGACAACTTTATTCTTACCCTTAACACATCATATATCAAAATGCAGTTTAAGTTTTAACACTTTTATTTTGTTATTATATAATGCGGTGACTACCTAATGTTACATTATCATTTAAAATACATGAAGTTGAAAAACGACATCTTTTTAAATATGGGGATAATCAGTTACTGATTTTTTATCCAATAACGAGCTGTGAAAAGTTTCTTACATATAACAACGCCTGTTATTTTGATGGTTGTGCGTGTTGTATTAATTTTGCCTTGCACTTAATCGCTTCAATGTAAAATTTGAATGAGATAAAGCTAGTATTTTACTTTAATAAACATGCTTGTTAAAGCAATATAAACAATAATTAATTGTATCACAATACGTAAACAATTTTACTTCTCGAAGCCTATTTATAACGCTCAAAACTACACATTGCGTGATTAATGTTGATATGTATCTTTTTTTCCTAAAAACTTACTTTAATTGATTGTATATAATGGTTAACATTTTGACTTTACGTAAAATTTTGCTTGATAAGCGACAATGAATATATCTGAAACCATGACACCTTTACAGATTAAACCTGACAAAATTCTAATTATGTTTCGTACAATTCAAGCTTCTATTTGTGTATCGGCTTGGTGACATATAAATAGGAAATGATCAATGCTTGTGATAATGTCCTTTTTTATCTTTTCATTTCTTTTTTATCATTTTGTACAGGGGAAAGTAAAAAAAGGCTTTATTTTGCCATAAAAACTTTTAAATCGTGGCGGCGTGGTCAAGTGGTATACCTGTCGGACTAGTAATCTGAGGATTGCTGGACGCAGGGGAAGAAACCCCGTCAGGAGGAAGCCATTGTTACCTTGAGCAAGGAACTTTACACTCATTACTTAGTACTGGTTGGTTCCAGGAACAGATTTGAGTGCGTTTCAATAACCTTATAGCTTTTAACACAGTCAAACTTAAATAAGTTGGTATAAACTAATTTGACTATTTATACTTAAAGCAATGTTTCGTTTTTTACTTTTTATTAATTGAGATCAGTGACCATTATAAATAGTGCATCCTATGAACTATATTGCTATTTAAGCTCAACTTAACAATGAAGAGATGGACACAATGTCCCTTTTTCTTATGAATGTCGAAGAAGTTTTCTGGTTATATATTATGCATTTTCCTTAATAGAAACTTGCTCTAGACGTTTCCAAGGTTGTGAAGTGCGTTTGGTACCAAGATTTGAACAAAAGTTTCATTTAACTGTCTCATCAAGGATATGATTTAAATGTTTGATGCTAGAAGTTTTTTGTAAGCTTTTGATTTTATGAATATTTGAAAAGAATTTTAAACTTTTGACTAAAACATAAAGATCAATATCTTGTTTTGGAATTGTAAGAATTTGGTCTGATTGAAACTGTATTTCCGTGACGATAATGTTGTACGTTCAGCCACGTACAAGCCACAAAGTATAAAACATAGGGTGAAACGAAATGACAAAGATATTTTCCGTTTGCAAGATCTTCGGATCCAGTTGTGAGGAGTTTTGAATGGAGTAAAAAAAGCGACAACACAAAGAGAATTTTTCAGATTACTTTTCTTTAGCACCAGACTTCTACATGTTCTAGTCGGTGTTGAAATAATCATGTGCGAATTTGATATATTTTTAAAGCAAAATACTTCATATGCAAAAATATTTTGATAATAAATTTAAAAAAAAATACGATTAATAATGTCGTTTCAATTGATAAGGGATAGGCGCAAGATAAGTGTTGAAATGCATTAATAAATAGAA